ATTTTCACTGAAGCCATCGGCTCCCCATCTGCTGCCCTCTGCTCCAGTCCTATCCTGCAGACAAGTGAATACCAGTATGAGTTGGCTCTTGTCCACAAAGCCACACAACCACTAGGCAGCTGCTGATGCAGCTTTCGATGTTAGCTTGAGAAGTGGCTACAAGTCCTCCCTACCACACTGTAGACTTGAACAAAGCGTTCATTCCTACCCTGGGCTCTGCCAGTGACAAGAAAGCTGACTATTTGAAGAAGCTCTCCAGCCCCAGAGAAAACTCTGTCTGTCCCAGTGGAACAGATGGTACCTTTTCTGTGCTATTCTGTCATTGCCAGAGAAGAACAACTGTTCATTAGCCCAGCCATTTAGAGATGTATCAGAGCCCTTGAAAATGTGTGGTCCCCTCCCACACTGAATGGGACCGACCTCTGTGACCAATAGGATAGTGCAGAAATGATGTGTGAGCTCAGGAGCAGGGGTCATGAAAGATACAGCAGCCCCTGCCCTGCTCCCTCTTGGATCACTCGTTCTGGGAACTGAGACATGGTGTTTGGAGGTTAGTCAAGTAGCCCTGTGGAGACATATGTGGCAGGGGAACAGAATCCTCCCACCAGGGTCCCACACAGAGACATTAGCCCTGCAAATTAAGCCTGCAGAAAGCAGATGCCGCCCCAGGCAAGCTGTCAGACAACTAGTCACAGCTGGCATACTAACTGCAGCCTTGCAGAAAGCTTAAGCCAGAGCTGCTGGCTAAGCTGCCCCTGAATCCTTCAGCAACAGAAACAGTTTGAGACAATAATTGTTGTTTTGAGCCACTAGGTTTGAAGGTAATTTGCTACCCAGCAGTAGATAACTAATACAGTTTCGGTGCAACAATAAGAGTCTGGGAGATGTTAAGCCAGGCCACACTGACACTATAAATTAGGATGCCTTGACTCCAGTTAACACAAAGGTCAATACAAATTGCTTTAAATCATAAAGAGAAGCATTTATTTTATTTTTGTTTGTTTTGTTTTGTTTTTGAGACAGGGTCTCACTGTGTAGTTGAGACTGACCTGGAACTCACTGTGTATCCTAGGCTGTTCTCAAACTCACAGCAATCCTCCTGCCTCAGCCTCCTGCGTGCTGGGATTACAGGTGTGTGCTACCACATCTACCTTATTTATTCATTTATTTTTTATTTTTTTGGTACCAGGGATTGAACTCAGGATCTTGGGATTGAACATGGGATCTTGTGCTTGCGAGGCAGGTGATAGCACTACTGAACTGAATCCCCAGCCCCAGAAAATAGTTAATTTTATATAAGAAGTCTGGACGTAGAGTGCAGTAGCTCAGTAATATCGTCAGGGATCACTACAGATAAAGAGCCATGGAGAAATTATTAAATCTTCAGTGTAGGTTAGTGTATACCTAGCATGGTCTCAATATATGTATTAAAAAGAAAAATGACAGGGCCGGGGATTTAGCTGAGTGGTTCTGCCGCCTGCCTCACAAGTGCAAGGTCCTGAGTTCACACTTTGGTACCAAAAAGAAAAAAAAAGAAAAATGACAGAATACAAGAGACAAGGCAGGTGTGGTAGTGTACTCCTTAATCCCAGTACTCTGAAATTCAAGTTTTAGCCCAGCATGGACAATTTAGGGAGACCTGTCTTAAACACATGATGAATGAGCAAAAATAAATAAGGGCTCCTTATGTAGTTCACTGTGAAGGCCCTAGGTTCAGTAACTGTGGTGGTGAATGCCTGTAACCCCAGCATTTAGGCAGAGGCAGGAGGATAACCTCAAGTTCAAGGTCAGCCTGGGCCTTGAGTGAGACCCTGTCTCAAAAAAAAAAAAAAGAACAGATTTGATCTGATGAATGCATCTGTAACACTGCAGAATGGCCCTTTTCTCAAGTACGTACGAGACAGTTACAAAAGTTGATCGCAATCAAGGGCACAAAGCAAGTCTCAGCAAATGTCAGCAATGCGGTATGCCACAGAAACCACAGTACAATTAATTTATAAATAATTACACAAAGAGAACTAGGAAGAAAAACTGTATATTTGGAAATGAAATAACTCATGAATCAACGAAGTACTTCTGTTCTGTTTTGTTTTTTTGGTACCAGGGATCGAACTTGGGTCCTTGTGCTTTTGAGGCAGGGGGCGGAACCACTGAGCTAAATCCCCAGCCCAAAGAAGTACTTCTGAAAACCAGAAAATACATAGATGTGATCAGCGATAAAATACTACATATCAAAACTTGTGAGGGCCAGGGATTTAGCTCAGTGGTTCTGGCGCCTGCCTCACAAGCACAAGGACCCAAGTTCAATCCCCAGTACCAAAAAAAAAAAAAAGAAGGAAAAAAAAAACTTGTGTGATGAAGCAAAAGTGATACTGAGGGGAAAGTACTTAGTCTTAAATGTTTACAGTTAGTTAAGAAAAGGACAGCATTAGATTTCATTAGACTAATGAAGGTTTGACTCTTGGGGTAGAGGAAAGCAACTTGGCAACACCCTGTATCAAATAAAATTTAAAAGGGCCACAGAATATAGCTTAGTGGTAGGGCTCTTGTTTTAGCATTCATGAGGCCCTGCGCTCCATCTTCAGTACAAAAAAAAAATATATTGGTTATTAATGACAAGAAAGTCTAGGATGTCAACTTCTCCACCAGAAGCTCTGAGCTGAAAGCTGTCCACAAATCCCCCTACCACATGAGACCTTAAGGGCAACTGAAATAATTAGATGTGGCAGTGTTTGAGGTCACATATGCCTTCCTGGACGGTGACGTGCCGAGCTGTCCATGTCGGTGGTGTGGTAGAAAAGACCCCAAGATACAGTCATAATCTCTTGCTCCATCTTGCACTTGTCCCTGGATATACGGTGTAAGTAACTTTGTTGCTCTTAATTCAGTTTCTTTTTCTCCTCGTCTTCCTTTTTTCTTTGTGTTTGTTTGTTTGTTTTAGTTTTTGAAAAAAGGTTTTGCTATGTGGTCCAGGATGATGGCCTTAAACTCACTAGTGTAGCCTAGACTAGCCACGAATTTTTGGTGATCCTCTTGCCTCACCTCTGTACTGGTAGAGTTGCAGGTATGTGTCACTATGCCTAGCTTAACTCAGTTTCTTCATCTGTGAAATGATGCTGCTTTTGTCATCTTAAGGGTTACTGTTGGATCCAGTGTTTTTTTTTTAATTCAAATATTTGTCCTAATATCATTTATGGATCATTCATCCTCCTAGAACAGCTATCTGCTAAGTTCTGCTAAATTCCTACCAGTGGGCTTTGTGTCCTGTTGATCTGCTTATTCCTACTTTTTTGGGGGGTGGTATCAGGGATTGAAATTGGGTCCTTGTGCTTGGGAGGCAGGCAGTGGAACCACTGAGCTAAATCTCTGACCATCAATGAGTAAATAAATAAAAAATAATTCTCTGGCCCTTTTTTTGGGCGGGTGATTTTGAGACAGGGTCTCACTATGTAGTTGAGACTGATCTGGAACTGACTATGTAGCCCAGGCTGGTCTCGACCTCACGGCAATCCTCCTGCCTCAGTCCTCTGAGTGCTGGGATTACAGGCGTGCGCCACCACGCACAGCTTCCTTTTTTTTTGAGACAATGTTTTATTATGTAACCCACGCTGGCCTTGAACTCACTGTGTAGCCTAGGCTGGCCTCAAATTCCCAGCTATCCTCCTGCCTCAGCCTCCCTAGTACAGGGATTACAGGTCTGTGCCACCACACCAGGCTCTTTTCTTTTTAATGATTCTTATATAAAACTATCTGTGTTGTTCAAAATCATAAGATTAAAAAGCATAGAAGGGGCCAGGAGATTTAGCTCAGTGGTTCTGCTGCCTGCCTCTCAAGCACAAGGACTCAAGTTCGATTCCTAGTACCCCCCAAAAAGTCAAAAAGCATAAACAAGTGAGAAGTTTCTCCCCCACTTCTTTCCCTAGCTGCTGTAGAAGAAACCAATGCTATTATGTGATTTTATTCAGAGAAATTTTATATGCATATATTCTCACATATATTTTTTTCTTTTTTTTTTTTCAGACAAGGTCTCACTGTGTAGTTCAGGTTGGCTTTGAACTCACTGTGTAGCTTAGGCTGGCCTCGAGCTCATAAGCAATCCTCCTGCCTCAGTGTCCCAAGTGCTGGGATTATAGGCATGTGCAAGACCTCACATATATTTATAGATGTGCATATATTTGTACATATAAGCTTACATATATTCCTTCCTTTTTCCCTACAAATAGTAGCAAATGTGTTTCATTTGTTTGTTTGTTTGTTTGTTTGTGTTTGGCAGTGTTGGGAAGGGAGCCCAGGGCATTCCCTTAACCTGCTAGGCAAGTACTATACTACTGTGCTACATCCCCAGTCCTAGAAACAAATATGAGCCTTCTCAGTCTAGATTTTTCTTACTTCTATTTTTAAAATTTTCCTTATCACATAATGCAGATACATTTGGATTTGAATCCCAGTTCTGTCATTTACTGGGTTTATCAGTTTCCTATGGCTACTCTAACCAATTGTCAAAAACTGGTGTCTTGGGGACGAGGATTTAGCTCAGTGGTTTTTCACTTACCTCATAAGTGCAAGGACCCGGGTTCAATCCCAGATACCAACCAAACAAACAAACAAAAAAAAACACACAAAAAAACTGGTGTCTTAAAACAACAGAAATGCTCAGTTAATGATGGACTGCGGTTCTCACTGGGACCCCATTACAGATCAGATGAGGTAAACTGGCCTTAAAATCTAAGGGGCCTGGGCTGGGGATTTAGCTCAGTGGTGCTGCCACCTGCCTTGCAAGTGCACAGTCCTGAGTTCAATCCCTAGTACCACACACGCACACATTAAAAAAAAAAAAAATCTAAGGGGCCAAATCATCATCACTGGTTTGTGCTTCCCTTGGGTCTGCCTCCTGGTACAGGAATGTTCCAATGTCATTTCCGAGGGGTTCAGGTATCCCGTTCCTTCCCTTTGCTCCGGGCGCTTGGAGCCTGTGAGCCAGAGCCTTCTAATGCACCCACCTGTGTTCTGTCCATCTTCCTGTGGTTCCCTCCTGGCACAGGATGAGGGTGGAGGCAGGAAGTGGACACTTCCTCAAGGCTTTGAGGTTGGCTGACGTGCTTTCGGTTCTTCTGTGCTTAGATTCTCCAGTCTCAAATCAAATCCCTGGAGCAGAGCAAGGTGAATAAGACCACCATGGAGCAGGAACTGAAAGAAGTGAGTGAGCTGAGGGGCCTGTGCCTTTCCTTTCCCCTGTCCTGAGCCCCAACTATCCCACCCAGGGAGATGGAATCACCAGGCAAAGCTGGCCAGCAAGCCTCCCAGAACTGCCTCTCTTTATACAGAAAGAGAAGAAAAGCTTCTCAAAAGTTGTCCCATTAGGTCTGGGGATTTAGCTCAGTGGTTCTGTCACCTGCCTCGCAAGCACAAGGTCCCAAGTTCAATCCCTGGTACCAAAAAAAAAAGAGTTGTCCTGTTGTTCACGCCTATGTTCAACAACGTATGTGAACTTAAAAATCAGGCCCATCTCCCCTGTCATAGGAAAACCTAAGCTTATATCCCACAGTTGTTATTGAGTCAGTGTAGACTGGAAAGTTGAATTTAAACCAAGGCTAGGGCTGGGGATTTAGCTCAGTGGCCCTGCTGGCTGCCTCGCAAGCACAAGATCCCAAGTTTGATCCCTGGTGCCAAAATAAATAAATAAACAAACCAAGGCTAGCTGTCATAAAAAAAATGACCAGAAGGATTGGATGTCTGCCAGCTTGCTCCTGCTTCCATCCTAGCAGCCCTCACTCCTGAACTCCTATCTCTCTAGAAAGCCGACAGGAGTGCACTGGCAGGCAAGGCCAGTAGGGCTGACCTGGAGACCGTGGCGATGGAGCTGAACGGCGTGATCCAGGGCATGTTCTTGAAGGTTTCAACCCATGAGGATGACTGGAAGAAGTCGTAAAGCAGCTGAGGAAGGACATGGGCACCAAGGTACATACCCCCGTGTGAGTTATCTTTGATAAATTACCCCAGAACTTAGCAGCTGCAAACAACAAATGCTATTTCCAGAAGCAGTCATTTGGGAGCAGCTTAGCTGGGTGGCTCAGGGTCTTTTATGAGGTCACAGCAAAAGCATCATCTGGGGCTTTATCATCTGGCTTGACTAGGGCAAGAAGGGCCACCTAAAAGATGCATGGCCACCTCATCCATGCATAGTAGTGCATGTCCATAATCCTGGCTACTCTGGAGATTGAGGCTGGAAGATAGCAAGTTCAAGGTTAACCTGAGAAACTTAGAGACACTATCTCAAACTTTAAAAAAAAAATTTTTTTTGTAAAGGGGCTGAGGATTTGACATAGTTGTAGAGTCCTTGCCTAGCATATGTGAGGCCCTGGATTGAATCCATAACAAAGAAAATGTAGAAGTAGAAAGGGGAGTTGGGATGAGGAGGGGAGAGGAGGAGGAGGAGGAGGAGGAAGGAGGAAGGAAGTAGCTTCATATAGTGATTGACAAGACTCTTCAGTTCAGTCCACACAAACTCTTTCTCAAGGCCCATAGTAACATCTCCCAAAGTGGGGGCCCAGGACAGCAAGAAAGACTCTGTGGGCCCAGGGATTTAGCTCAGTGGCACTGTGCCTACTTGGAAAGTGAAAAGTCCTGAGTTTGATTCCCAGTACTGGGGGAAAAAGTCTATGGATCTGGCTGGGAATGGTGGTGCATGCACTTGGGAAGCTGAGGCAGGGTTGCTGTGTGAGTTTGAGGCCAGCCTGGAATACATAGTGAGACCCTGTCTCAAAAAAAAAAGAATCTATAGATCTGTAGTGTTGTTAGGCATGAGAGCACCTTCCATCATTTGTGTAACAGCCCGTTGGTTACACAAGTCTGCCCTATTCAGTGTGAGAGGAGATTGCTCAATGGTGTGAGTCCAAGAGGTGTCACTAGGGACTGTCACATTGGTGGGGCAAGCCAAAGGGACAAGGTGGGTGGAGCCTGCCAGGCATTCACTCTTTTATTAATCATTTACTGGTCACCTGAGTCATGCCAGACCTGGGGAAGTGACGGGGAGTCACAGCCCACGTCCTTACTTGGACAGGCCGACCAACATCAGTGCTGCCGAGGGTGGTGGTTATGGCCAGAAGAGTGTGTGTTTGGCATTCAGAGGCTCTGGCTGTGTCTCCCTGTGGCTCATCTTTCTCATCGGTAAAATGGGTCTTCATTCATTTATCAACTATGCGTTGTGTCCCAGTAGTGTTAGTCACTAGGGAAAGCAATGAGCAAAACAGAAGGGGGTCTGGTCTTCATGGAAACATATTTATTAGAGAAAGGAAAAAGCTAGATAGCATTCCACAAAACAACTGACCTGTTTTTCTTCATTGATCCAATGGCAGGGTGCAAAGAAGTGGTAACAGATTATTTTAGATTTTAAAAGCTGCAGGAACCCAAACAACCAAATGCAACGTATGAGGAGATCTTATTTCTTTCCTGGCTCAGTTGAGCCCATTCTAAATCTGGGCTGGAAACATGTACCAAATCAGGAATTATATCATTTGTATTAGATGTGATAATGAAATTGTGATCATGAATAAAGACCTTCCTATCTTTCAAAGATAATTTCTCAGATTTTTATGAGTGAAATATGATTTCTGTAATTTAAAACAATGGATCCCACTGGGTGAGGTGGTGCGCCTCTGTAATCCCAGCACTCTAGAGGCTGAGGCAGGAGGATCACTGTGTTTGAGGCCAAACTAGGCTACATAGTGAGTTCAAGGCCAGCCTTAACTATATAGTGAGACCCTCCCTGTCTCAACAATAAACCAAAAAGGGGTTGGGGATTTAGCTCAGTGGTGCCACTGCCTGCCTCACAAGTGCAAGGACCCGAGTTTGATCCCTGGTACAAAATAATAATAATTAATAATGATAATAATAATAAATAAACCAGAAGGCCAGGTGTGGTGGTGCATGCCTATAATCCCAGCACTCAGGAGGCTTGCTATGAGTTCAAGGTCAGCCTGGGCTATATAGTGAGTTTAAGGCCAGCCTGAACTATACAGCAAGACTTTGTCTTTAAAAAAAAAAAAAAAATCCAGGGTGCAGGCTTGGGGTGCAGCCTGGCTCTGCCTCTCTGCACTGTGACAGCTTGGGAGGGGAGGGAGGAGGGGCCAAAAAGGGAGGGACAGGGAGGCAGTTCAGAGAGTGGTCATATGCACGCCCTGCCCCAACTCGAGGCAGGAGGTTCAGGCATCCTCTGGGATGGAGATGGGTTGAGATGCCCACAATCTGGGGGATGCCCGAGGCCACAGGGCTGCAGAGTCTTAGCTGCCAGGACAGGGCGCTTGGAAACTGGGAGCATCCCCAGCTTTGGGGCCATGATGCCTGCCTCTGCCCTTCTTCTTTCTCCAGTGATCTGGGCGAGCCTCTCTGTTGGTGGGCTCATCAGTGGAGTCGTGCTTCGGGTCCCTGCGCAGGGAGACAGGCCTGAAATCAGGAGCGATGTGACTCTCAGACTCCCACTTCAACCAGGGAAGCAGGCTTGCTGAAGTTGGAGCCAACAGGGAACTGTAGGCAGGATGCCAGTCAAACGCCTGACTTCACCCAGTCCAGTCCACAGTGCACAGAGTGAATCCGTTAACCCAGGTGGAGGAGAAGGCAGATTTTGTGATTATTCCCTCCGAAGGAATAGAGATCAGAACAGAAGAGATAGACTCTCCATTATCCCGAGACTGGCAGCCAGAGAGCCCCGGAACCCATCTGGAGACCTCATGGGAGGAACAGCTGTTGGGACAACAAGAACATTTAGAAAAAGAAACGGAGGAATCAAAGAAAATGATATCAGGACTACAGGCCTTGCTGCTCAATGGATCCTTACCTGAAGACGAACAGGAGAGGCCTCTGGCCCTCTGTGAACCTGGAGTCAATCCCGAGGAACAGCTGATTACAATCCAGTCGGGATCAGAGCATGGAGGAAGATCAAGACTTGAGGAAAGAACTGCTGAAATAAATGTCAACAAGAAGTCAGAAGTTTACAGGGGTCAAGGATGCCTTGCAGCAGAGATTGACTCAGCAGGACACATTGTTCTTCAGCTCAAGCAAGAACTCCTGAGGGCAACGATGGACAAAGATGAGCTGCATAACCAGAATGTGGCTCTGCAGAGGAAGCTGGATGAGAGGAACGGGAATTTGGGAGAATATGAAAAAGAGCTGGGGCAGAAGGATCACCGCCTTCAGCAGCACCAGGAAGAGCGCTCCGGAAACTCCCGGATGCCAGTCACCAGCAGGTGGATCTAGGGCCGGAGCTGGAACACAGAGATGTCCTTTTGGCTCATCGTATGAAAAGAGGCAGATGAGGTGACCGAGTACAACAGTTACAACTCTCAAAGCAATGGCTTCCTCATTCCAGCGGCAGGGAAAGGAGCTGCTTCCATCGCTCACAGAGAGACCAGCGGCCTGCAGCTTGTCCAAGATGCCCTGCGAAGCCTTCGCAAGAGCTTCAGCAGCCACGACCCTTGGCACCACACCATGGACAGCTTGGAGCAGGGCGTCTCCAGCCTCATGGAGACACAGAAGAAACAGGAAAGAAAGGTTTTTCATGATGATGATGCCATCCCTGGATGGGAAGGAAAAATTGTACCCTGGGTGGAAGAAGACCATGGAGAGAATTAACCCTGAGGGTCAAAATCTGATTACTCTCTGGCTGCTTCACGCAGGGAAGGAGACTAAAACCAGAGTGCACTAAGACTTTTCTAAATTGTGCTACCAGTATCAAAGCTTCAAGTGTGAAGGTCATAAGCCAGTCCTGTTTCTGTGCCTGGAGTATCTGATGCTTAAAATCCCCATCCAAAGGTAGACCATGGGTTCATCTGGAATTCCTTGTCCTTGGAAATGGTGTTTTGTTCCACTCTGAGGACACCAAAGCGAAGGCCTTAGTCAATGGGGACGGATGATCCCACTCCTGTGGGGGCATGGCTGCTATTATCTGGAACCTGGGGATTGGATGCGTCACTCCTGTGTGTTACAGTATTGATTTAATTGGCCTCAATGGTGGCACCAGTCAGAGTCCCAGCATCTGTACTCAGAGACAAGGCAAAGGGACCAATTTTCCTGCTTCTTTGCAGATACTGCAGACTAAGAATAACTCATGAGGTGGTAGCAAAGATGGAAGCTACTCTTCAATAACCATTTGAATTGGACATGGCTGATGCTGAATTGTTGACTGGATGGAGAAAGTGCTGCCCATGTTATGCTGTACTATGTTAAAACCATAAGACCTTGGGCCACTTCTGGTCTTAACTGATTCTGAAACTTTAACTTTAGCCCTCGTAAAGTGTATTTCATGTACTACTGGTTTTCTCTGGGACTCTTTAACATTAGAGCCATTTATTTTTCTTTGAATTGATAACCTTTGTGTTTCAAAGGAATTAGGAGTGAAACACTCCTTAAAAAGGGTATGGAAAGGTGCTGCTACCCATATCTTCTTGGCTTTGTCTCATGACTTTCTTTAACTCATGGAATCTCCTTTGTAGTTAAAAGGAGAGAGTTCATTAATTCAGTGTCTCTTTGTGATTTTTGAGTACTGAGCATGAATTACTAGTCTGGTCCTCATTTTAAGATTACAGTTTTTTTCTATTACATATTTAGTCTACGCTAGCCGGGCGTGGTGGTGCATGCCTGTAATCCCAGCACTCAGGAGGCTGAGGCAGGAGGATCACTGTGAGTTCAAGACCAGCCTCAGCTACATAGTGAGTTCCAGGTCAGTCTCAATTACATAGTGAGACCCTGTCTCAAAAAACAAAAACGAAAACAAAACATATTTAAGTCTAGGCTGATGTTTTAGGGCACAATAGAAAGCATGGGACATGGAGCATGAGTTATGAATGGTAGGGTTGATTGAGGGGAAAGAAACCTAGAATCATTTCTCATGTGCAACACCATCAAGTGTAGAAGCTAAAAGTGTTCAACTTCCAGAGATTACTTAATAACCTGGGTTTTCTCATTCATCCACCCAGCACTATCAACTAATTAGCCTATAGAAAAGCAGGCTGTGAACACCAGTGTACACTGCCAAACAGAAGAGAGGACGATCAGTTTTAGGTTTTTGATCTTTGTCTTCAGTTCATCTCCTTTCTGAAGACACTGAACAGACTACACTTTGGATTTGAGATAACATCTTATTATTTTATATGGGCATATCTTTAAAAAATAGTTCCTGTTTGGAGAATTCTTTTATACTCATTTGCTTTCTGTCTGAGAACCATGTCTATCTAGTTTTATAACTCAAGCGTGAGTTCTATACACACTCAACATTCTCTATACTGTGTCCATTTTCTAGAGAACCCAATAGCTTTTACACAGTCTTTTACCAACTCTTGTGATTTCAGAACAAGCTTTATTTTATTACAAGTATACTAATGACTTCTAATTTCTGTCCAATTCTATCTGCAATTTTGGTTGTGGGAGTAGTTTTATGTAATCCAGTTGATTGCTCTTCAGTCAGACCAAAGGAGTTCAAAAGACATCTGATTTCTTTTGTGTGCGTTTACTTGGTATTCTATTGAAGAATAATTTATCATCAGAATAGCTGGGAAAATTTGGGAAAGTCAGCCATAAGCCAGAATAATACATTAGGAAATCAAATAGGAGAAAACAATGAATTTTAGGTTTTTCCTTTTTCCCAAGAAGTCTGGAGAAAAATTCTTTGTGTCACCAATTTCTCTGTTGCATGAATTTTATTGTTTTCCTATACAACAGCATGAGGGTTATCAGGCCAAAATTTGTTATTGTGTTCCTGTAAAATTTTTCTTGAATGTCTGTTAAATCAGTTACTCGTCAGTTTTCTTTCAGTGAACAGCCTTACCATTATGTAAAATTTAACTTTTCAGAGAATATTAAAGAAAAATCTCAGAGTCCTCCTCTTGGTGTGTTATCTTACTCTTTTGGAAAAGGAGTCACCATAGTGCCTCCATAGGAAGCTGAAGTTGAATTCAGAAGAGAACATGGGATAATTTGTTTCCCCTTTAGCTCCCATCCAAATACTAACCAGGCCCGACCCTGCGTAGCTTCTGAGATCAGATGAGATCGGCGCGTTCAGGGTGGTGTGGCCATAGACTCCCCCTTTAGCTTGTTAATCTCATGTACCATGGGGACTAGCTAATCGTCCTTACTAGATAATGTCACTTAACTAACTCTTGTGTAAATTGTGTTGGTGATCTTCATTCCACTTTCTAAAGTAAAAGGAACCTTCTCAGCAGGAGTAGGCATTGTTTCTGTTGTGGAAAGTCTCCTACTTGGCTGCAGTCTCAGGGGCCTTGAGATTTATTCATACTTGCTATCGCTTAGAGGCACTCAAGTGAGATATTCCACGCTGGTACTTCTGAAGTCTAAAGAACTAGGCTGTTTAGAGTTCATAAAATGAACCTAATCATGTTAGGTTAAAAGCAAAAGACTTTCTCATAATAACTAGTTTAGTTGAGAGCTTAATTCCTTAACTTTAAATTTAAAGACTTCACTTCTTGCTTAGTTCTCCAAGTTATCTGGGATTGGGACACTTTCCAATTTGTACCTAAAGATTTTGGTTAAATACACTTGGTAATGCCAGTCCTACTTAACATTTTTCATCTTTTTTTGATCTGTTGTAAACTAGGGGGAAATGTCATTATGTTCTACCTGTAATCTAATACTTAAAAGCATTTAGATCGTAATTAAAATTAACATTTTCCCATAAAATATTGATCACACACTTCTGTTGTCTGAATTTATGTAAGAGGTATAGCTTGCTTAAAATACATATAAATATAAAGTTATATTTTCTTAGAAACATGGACGTTTACAACCATTGCTTTCAAAGAGATTATTATCATGTATTATCCCTGTTTTACTGTATGTTTTCATGAAGACTATTATACCAGAGGCTTCTGATTATCAAAGTGATAAGCATTTTTTGTTTTGTTTTGTTTTTGGTGCCGGGAATTGAACTCGGGCCCTTACGCTTACAAGGCAGGCGGCAGAACCACTGAGCCAAATCCCTGGCCCCAATAACCAGTCTTAACTGCCTGTATGTACCAGATTTGTGAATTTTTTAAAAACCACATTATGAATAAAAGGGAGTTTGCAAACTAAAAAAGCAAAATAAAACAAAAATTCAGCCAGGGACTTAGCTCAGTGGTGCCATGCCTACCTTGCAAGTGCAAGGTCCTGAGCTTGATCCCTGGCACTGGAAAAAAAATTTTTATTAAAAAATGAGACAAATATGGCAATATTTAAATAATTGTTAAATCTAGGTGGTAGCTATATGGGGGTTAATTATTCTAGTCTGTCTACTTTTCTGTGCATTTAAAATTTTTCCAAATTAAAAGCTTTTTATGGTCGTTGTTTGTGTGTTTTTTGCTACTGGGGATTGATTGAACTGAGGTCCTTGCACTTGTGAGGCAGGCAGTGGAACTGCTGAGCTAAACCACAGCCCTGTGGTTGTCGTTGGAAGTGATCCCTTACTCACTGCCTGCCTGCCTGCCTTCCTTCATTCCATATGGGGGATTGAATCCAGATCCTTCACACTTGTGACCTACATCCCAGGCTCCCTTCCTCCCTGAGTGGTTAATTTCCTCATGCTGAGCTCAAACTTGCGATCCTCCTACCTCAGCCTTCCACAGTGCTAGCATTACAGGTATGTGACACAATGCCCAATTCTCTTTCTATATTTTAAATTGTGATAGAAATCACAGAACAAGCCAGATGTTGTGGCCTGTGTCTATAGTATCAGCTACTTGGAAGTGTGAGGCAGGAGGATCATGTGAGCAAACAAGTTTAAGACCAGCCTGGGCAACAACATATTGAGTCCCTGTCTCAAAAAAAACCAAAGGTCACAGAACATAAAATGACCCATTTTAAAGCAAGCAAAATGACGTTTACAGTGTGTACAACCACCACCTCTAACTAGTTCTAAGACTTTCTCATCTTCTTAAAAGAAAACCCTGTACCCAGTAGTGATCACTCATATCCCCCCACCCTGCCCATCCCTGGCAACCACGAGTCTACTTTTGATCTCTGTGCTTTGCCCTTTCTGGATAGTTTATATAAATGGAATTATACAGTATGTGAACTTTTGTGTCTGGTTTCTTTAACTTAATATATCTTTGAAGTTAATCCATGTTGTAGCATGAATCAGAACTTAATTCCTTATACCCAAGAACAATGAAAACATGTCCATGCAAAAACTCATATGTGAATGTCCAAAGCAACATGATTCATAACAGCTAAAATATGGAAACAGCCCAAGTGTATCTCACCAGAGAAATTAATAAACCAAATTTGGGATATTCACATGATAAAATAGTATTCAGCCATGATATTCCTTGCTTAGAATATTTAGTATGAATGGAGCTACCGATGCACACTACCACATGGATTAATGCTGAAGACAGTACGCTAAGGGGAGAGAGGCCACATGCAGTCTGATGTTTTATATGAAAAATACAGAATAGGCAAATCCACAGAGGCAGAAATTTGATTAGTGGCCGCCAGGGGCTGGGGATTTGGGGAAAATGGGGGATACGGGACTTCTTTGAAAGGGATGTGAATGTTGTAAAATTGATTGTGATGTTATATAACTGTGAGTATATTAAAACAACTGAATGTTCATGTGAGTGTCAGGTGCATGGTGTCCATGCTCAGGCCTCTAGATTGCAGTTGATGCTGTCTTTTGCTTTTGCTGCTGAGAAACTCACTTAGCAGCACCCCCCAACTGATAGCATCCATGAGGGCATGAGCCTTAACCCAGACTGAATCATTGTCCCTTCCCAGGATGACCTCACTGTCTGTTTCATCCTCCTATTATCTGTGTAACTTTGCAGGTATGAGTAAATTAACTGGACTGTCTTTTCTTCCTTGTGGTCATTGACAGCTGGTCCCCAGTGATCTGGATGCTCTGAAGAAAGAGGTGGCAGAGATCTGGCAAGCAGTCAGGAAGGTGATGATGGAGGGCTTCCGACTTGACCCTGACCGCGCAGCAGGCTTCAAAAGGTGACAGCACTGAGGGCTGGGGGCGGGGGCGGGGTGGAGCTGCAGTCCAGGCCAGAGACCTGCGGCCAGGGCCTGGGGTGGGACTAAGAGTACAGGGGGCCTAGAGGAGCCACTCCAGCCTGAGTGAGTGAGGGCCTCCTTATGGCAAAAGAGGAAATTGAGCTTAGAGAGGGAAGGGATGTGCAGGGCCACACAGAGCTGGGCAAATCCAGGGCCTGTGCCAGTGCTCTTGACCCTCTCCACCCAGGGCGACGGGGCTCCTCCCTCACATTTCACGCGATCTCCACCCCAGAAGGGAGGTATTTCTTTTTCCTTATCTTTCCCCTTCTCTACCTCTTCCTTTCCCATCTCTGCCCTCCCCTCCCTTTCCCTTTCCCCTCCCGTTCCCTTCCCTTCTTTTCTTCACTACTGTACTAGGGGTTGAATCTAGGGCCTTCCACTAAGCTACATTCCCGGACCTTTTCATTTTGTTTGTTTGTTTGTTTTTGTTTTTTGAGACAGGGTCTCACTACAGAGTTGAGACTGACCTGGAGCTCACTATGTAGCCCAGGCTGGTCTCAAACTCACAGCGATCCTCCTGCCTCAGCTTCCCAGAGTGCTGGGATTATAGGCTTCCCTCACCACGGGAAGGCCCAGTATGGGGTGGGGACAGAAACCACACGAACTCAGATCCCCTTGGCTTTACTCCCTGTCACACAGCACCTGCAGCCTCCTCCTGCGCCCACCCGCTACCGCTGGCTGCCTTGTGTTTCAGGCAGCTGTTTGAGCGAGTGAAGTGCATCTCTTGCGACCGACAGGTGGAGATCATGACTGGCCCGTGAGTACCGCCGCCAGGGGCCTGTCCATCCGCGCTCTGGGCTCGCGCCATTCGGTGGAGCCAGGTGTGCATCGCCGGCGTGTGCCCTTCTGCAGCTGTGGAGTGTATGCATGTCTGTGTGCACAGCTCTCCGGTCGTCATGTGCAGTCCTTAGGCGTCACTCTGTACAGACCCTGCTGTCCGTCCCACCACTGAGGGCCAGTGCCCATGGGAGGAGCATTGTCTCTTTTCTATCACACCCTGCCTAGGGCTGTGTACAGACATAAGTCAGTTTAAAAAACAAAACAGGGCCGGGGAGTTAGCTCAGTGCTTCCACCACCTGCCTTGCAAGCACAAGGACCTGAGTTCCATCTGTGGTACCAAAAAACAAGCCGGGTGTGGTGGTGCATACCTTTAATCCCAGTACTCAGGAGGCTGAGGCAGGAGGATCCACTGTGAGTTGGAGACCAGCCTGGGCTACATAGTGAGTTCCACGTCACTCTCAACTACATAGTGAGACCCTGTCTCAAAACAACAACAAAAACAACAAACAGAAAGAATCCTTGTAGGGAAAGCAGGCCTTTATTGTACTTTTTTGCACTTACTTTGATAAAAGCCTGCTCAGGCCAGGGATTTAGCTCAGTGGTTCTGCCATCTGCCTTGCAAGCGCAAGGACCGGAGTTCAATCCCCGGTACCAACAACAACAACAAAAAAGCCTGCTCATATTTTAAATTTCAGAGGAAATTCATATTGCACTTAAGAACTGTTTTAAAGTGAACAACTCGGTGGTTTAGTACATTTAGAATGTTCTACAAGTATTGCTTCTGTTTAATTCCAGAGCCCTATTTAGTCCCCCAGATGGAAACCTCAGACCCATTAATAATCATTCCCATTGCCAGCTTCCCTTGTGCCCTTCGCAGCTAGGAATCTGCTTTCTTTCTCTATGGATTTGCCTTTTCTGGATGTTTCCTATAATAGAATCACACAATATGTGGCTTTTTGAATAGGGCTTTTTCCACTTACCTTGTTTGTTTGGTTCCTCTGTGCTGTAGCATGAATACTTTCTATGGCTGACTAACAGTCCACTGTGTGAACAGAGAGCTGATTGGCTTCCAGAAATTTTGGTTGTTTCCACCTTTTAATCGTATTCAGTGCAGCTATGAACATTCGTGCACATGTATTTGAACACCTGTTTTCAGTTCTTTGGGGTATGAACCTAGGAGTGGACGTACTGGGTTATATGGTAACACTGTGGTAAGATTTTTGAGGAGCTGCCACACAGTAATCTGTCCTGAGTGCCAGGACCTCTGTAGTGCTTGCCTAGCCCTAGGACCCAGGAGACTGCTTCCTGCTGGCTGCCAGTTCACATTCATGGAGGAGCAATGGAGCTTCAGCCAGGGTCTCCCCATCCTGCCTCTGTGCAGCCCTGGCAGCCACCAATCAGCAACCGGCTTCTAGAACTTAACTACTTTGATTTTTACTTTTATAATCAGAATGTCTGTTTTTTTGGTCTTACTATGATTATCAGAGGTCCTCAAGCTCTCACGCCTGGCTCTGCATAGGAGAGGAGGCCACATTTGAGGGTGGACATATCCAGGTCTGCACTTCCTTCCTTTTGCTGGGAAGGCTTCCCAGAGGTATGCAGGAGCTGGGGCCCTCTGCTGGCCACCTCATCTCCCGCAGCTCTGGACACCTCCTGTCCTCCACAGACAACTGATCACGATCCGCAGAGCCCACCTGTTGTGGAGGCTGCGGCCAGCCAGCGCCAGCAGCTATGAGTACCTGCAGCGGCAGCAGATGAGGTGAGGGCCAGGAGCCACACTGCATGCTCCAGTCCCAAACACTGTCCTCTGTCTGCAAGGGAGCCCTTCTGGGAGGTGGCTGGGGTGGCAGAGGGGCACAAGAGCTGACCATACATTGGGCCGCTATTATGGGCCAAGAACTATTAGGTGCTTCCAATGGGAGAGCTGTTCATTAAACCTCACAACTCCCCTGTAAGCCAAGATTAGTATGCCTATTTCCTGGGGGAAAAGTAATGATCAAGGGCCTTTTGGGAGTCCTTTTGTGGCTCGGAAGGCATAATGCTAAGCATTTGGCCTTCTCTGCAGCTTCTCTTTGAGGTGTATTCCATGGTCATCCCATTTCACAGTTGAAGAAACTGAGGCTAAGAGAGCTTATATGGCCTGCCCAAAATCATGGCCAGTAAGTGGCAGGTTTCTCTTATTTAGCTGTTCCCTGGGCCCCAGCTCTATCCCTAACCTCCTGACATCCTTGGTTCCAGTTCTTCTTCCAGCACCCAGCCCTGTGGAAACATGGGCCAGGGTTGCGGGGTGAACAGCTACGTGTTTTGTTAATCACAATCATGCAAAAAGGAGGGACTTAGGGGCTTGTGCTGAGCTCAGGAGATTCAGAGAGATACTGGTGGCCCAAACTAGGGTTCTGGGTGTGGTCAGGTCTGGGGAAGACAGGTCTTGTTTTACTCCTTTCCCCAACTATGCATGTTGGCACCTACCCACCACGCCCTGGACCCTGTCCTGGGGTTCCTTTGAGGCAGAGGGATCTTCAGGAGGCTGCTGACTTATGCCCTGCTCAGGGAACATCAGCAGCTGCAGTTCCAGGATCTCGGCATCCCAGAAGAGAGTTTCAACCCCCTGGGTTCCCACCAGGACTGGGGTGATGGCCCCCGAAATGACACCAGCCTCAAGCCCAAGTCGTGCAACCTGTCAACTCTCTACCCTTATGGGGACCCCCAAGTGATAGACTATGACACTGTGAGTCTGGCCATGGCCTTCTCCATGGAAGGTAGACACCATCATGCCCCAGTCCAAAATGTGGGCTAGTCCTTGAGCTATGGGTGTCTGGAAGGCTATGCTCTGGCTTTTTGGCCTCTCCATGCACTTAGAGAAGGGGTGGTGGAGTGGAGGCCCTGACATGGGACCCAGACCATCCAACAGGCTGAGGTGGACATCCTGGGAGTGGATGGAATCCTGTACAAAGGCCGAATGAACAACCACACTGGGACTCGACCCTCCGCCCCTGGGGAAAAAGAACCAGCAGGTGAGGAGAATTGAACACTCCTGGGCACCTGTAACCTGTGGCTGCTGGGTAGGGTGAAGGGTTGCAGGCAGGACTGAGAGGTGGTACCATCCCTGACTGGGAAACCTTCATACCATGACTCACAAAATTAGGGTCCACACTTGCTCCACGCACCTTACCTGGCCCCTGGAGACAATGGATTGCAATGTGCTTATGAGGGAGCAGATTGTAAACCACAACAGAAGGCAACAACCCATGGTTAGAGAGAAACAGCTGACCTGCAGGAAAGTCCTGGTAATGGGGCAGCTGGCCTGTGACAAGAGCATAGCCCAGGGATGGTGCTGGGCTCGTGACAAGAGAGTTGTGCCAAGGACTACATCCGTAGGAGAGGACTTGACAGTGCTGTGATGAAGAGGGGAAAGGAATTACTTGGTGAATGGATCAAGAGGGAAGAGAGTGGTGTAGGTAAAAGGGTTAGCAGGTATAAAGACTCTGTGGTGGGTGGAAGCCATACACAGGTAGAACTTGGGGAGGTTGAGCCCATCTGGGTGCAAAGACTAGGAAGGGGTGATAAAGAGAGGATATGTACAGGATATAAGTCTCAGGATCTGGTTCTGGGCCTCAGGACTCTAGATTTCATCACTGAGGCTCACAATGTAGGGAGGCAAGGTGACATACCCTGGAAAGTCTAAATATTGTTCCTGGGTGAGACCACACCCTCCCTCATGAAGAGAGGTCCAGGAGTCACAATGGGCTATCTAACCCACTGACTAGAGGACTAAATCCCAGACGCATAGCGTAAGAAAGGAAAGGAACTGTCCTGATGTGCTGTACAAAGAAAGGCACACCAGGCTACCACAGCAAACAGCAGCTTATTCTGTCACTTCTGGAGGCCAGACATTCAAAATCAAGGTGGCAGCAGGGCCGTCTTGCTCTCCAAAGGCTCTTGTAAAGGATCCAGGTCCCGTGGCTCCAGACATTCTTTGGCAATGGCCGCATCACTCCAATTTCTGTCTCGTAAGGATACTTGTCACTGAATTTAAGTTCAGTGTAACCCAGGATAATCTCATTTTGCCAACTTTAATTACCCCTACGGGATCTTTTCTCTAGATAAAGTCACACCCACAGGTTCCAGGGGATGTATCTTCTTGGAGATCACTATGGAACCCACCACAGGTTCCACCCTGTTCCTAGGAGGGCAGGACACCGTATCTTCTGCCCTTTGTCCAGGAAATATGTGTCTGTACTGGGCCCCTACTGTGGACCTAATGGGAGAGAACTGCGTTGGGCTTCAGGGGTCACCGTGTAAGGCAGCAACATGGGCTCATGTTTAATGAGCCTCGACTTTGTGCCAAGGCCTCCCCACCCCCTCTTTCCCACAGCAACCTGGTGAGGCTGTCCATGAACACCCAGAGGGTCCACTTGCTGGGAGAGCACTCTCAGCAAGGAGCAGGGCAGAGAGAGTTTACCATGGGACACCCCAGGCCTTGTCAGCCTTCCCCAAGGATGTCACCCTGGAAGGAATGGCTTTTCCTCAAATGGTCATTCATTTCCAAGACCCAGGCAGCAAACAAGAACGTTAATAGAGGTGGCCTCAAAAGCTTTACCCTGCTCACTTTGTGTGGCAGAGTGGGCCTAGAAACAGAGCTGGACCCATCAGATTGAAAAGCCTGGCCTCAGCCCCCACTTGTTCTGTTTTTTCTTTTCTTTCTTTCTTTTTACTTTTCCTTAGCCATGAAGATTCCATGTCCCCCAGGTCAAAATCTGTGTGACTGTATGCGCTCCAGTGCCTTAGTTGATGCCATCTACCCCTGTGAGTACCTGTCCTCACCCTCCTGGCCCACCTTGGTCCCTCCTAGTGCCAGCTCACTCCCCTCACCCTTCAGCCTGAGGATTTGTTCCTGTTTCATCTTAGCTACCTCTCACCTGTTCTGTCCACATCCTAGAAGCCACTTGCCCACCTGCACTGTACCAGGGGTGGGGAAATCCCCGAAATAGCTCCCACTCAGCACCCTGCACTATAGCCAGAAAAGTGGGGCTCAGAGCCTCAGCTGTACGGGCTCTTGCTTCACCTTCAAGGTTACTTCCTGGTCCCAGGCACCATCCCAGAAGCCCAGGCTGGTTGTCTGTCCCCAAGTATCCACCCAGCTGCAGGGATAAGACAAAGGAACTCATTTACTTCTCTTGGCAAGGGGTTCCAGAAGCCATGCTAGGAGATCTGAGCCCCACATTTCTCACATCTGTACCACCAGGTATCAGGCATCTGGGGCACTTTCTCCCTTCTGGTCGCTTCTGATCTTAACTCAACTTAACGAAGTTAGTCCGTTCCAAAGAGGAGGGACTTCAAGCTCTGTGTCCTCCCAGGTGCTCTGCTTCACTTTGGTACCCATTTATGGAGTCATATATCTTGGGTTGCCCCCCTCCCTGAAGTTTAGGGTGCCCAGGACCAGGAGACCATGATCACCAGCCCTGTCATGGACCGCAAAGCCCTCCAGTCTTGGTCTTCTCTTCCTCCAACAAGGAGGACCCCACAGCAGCCCCTGGGAGCATTCTTGAGATACAACACAGGTTTCTCCCCCTTCCAGCCCTGGGCCCTCGCACCAGCATCAGCTCACCTGCCTTAGGCACTCCCACCACGCCCTTGGGTCGGCCACCATCTTCTCTGCTGCCTCTGACGCTGCTGCCACCACTGATTCCACCCCCAAGGGACCCGTAGTAGGCCTCAGAGTTCACCAGGCACTTGAGATCTCCACACCTTGAATCCCGAGCCAGCATTCGGTCTGTGGAGGAGCCCACCAACCTGTGAGCCTCACCCCTTTCCCCTGCCAGGTCCCCTCTGCAGCCCTGGGGCCATGTGACTGGCCTGACCCAGGACATAGGGGAAGGGTCTGCATCTCTATAGGGAGGTCCCCTTGTGGACCCAGCAGTTGTTTTAACTCTGTGTGTACTAAAATCAACACAATTCTTATTAAGATTTTCACGGAAAACAGCTCTCAGGGGCATTTTTCACCAAGCCAGTAAAATTCCTGGACCAATTTTTTGTGGGTGGGGTACCTGGGATCTTATTCAGGACCTTCCGCTTGTGAGGCAAGCGGTAGAACCACTGAGCTAAATCCTTGGCCCTTCCTTTACCAATTTTTTGTTGTTGTTGTGTTTTTGAGACAGGGCCTCACAAAGTAGTTGAGACTGGAACTCACTACGTAGCCCAGGCAGTTCTCAAACTCACAGCGATCCTCCTGCCTCAGCCTCCTGAGTGCTGGGATTACAGGCGTGCATCACCACTCCCTGCACCTTGACCAATTTTTGATACAACAGAGTTAAAGTGACTTTAACACCATCCTTCTCCTTTTGATTTTGCTTCAACGATGTCATCAGAATCAGTTCCCACTATAGCTCCTACCTCTGTGCCTCTTACCTGGGAGCCATTATTTCTAAGACCAGTTTTCCCATGGCAACCACATTTCACTTTTTGTTTTGTGTTTGTTGTTTCTATCCGTAATTATTCTTGTGAATTGGATTGTTCCTATCGATTTCTTGGCTGACCCACAAGGAAACTGGTACAGTGCCTCTTGAGTATTCTAGGATTGTGGGGTTCCTTCCAGCAATTTCTCCTGCTTTTAGCCCACACATTTGGTGGGGGAAAGTGCGTACCACCAGGTCGCAAGGTCTCATTTTGCCAGTTTAGCAGTCACTCTTGTAATGTGAAGCAGAGGGCTCGCCCCATGCCCACCTCCCCTAGGGGTCATGGGCTAGCTTTATCCCTTCCCCTCTGACTTTACCTGTCCCTTCCTCCTGTCAGTCTCTCTCCCTCACTGTTGCCTCCTGCTCTCTCTCCTTTTCCTAATTTTAATAGTTCTATGCCATTTTAGAGATGAAACAGCTTCCCTCTACACAGGTTTGGCATGTAACCCCCCCTCAGTGCTCACTAAATAATGGGGTGAGTCAGGGAGTTGGTGGCTGTAGGCAAAAGCTGTCCAGGAATGAGCTGGAGAAGGAAGGACTCTGGGCAGGACTAGGAGCCCCGAGGCTTTGCCCAGGGCAGGTGTGGAGGAGGACCCGCTGTCGTGCCTGGGGACCCTGTGTGTCTACTCATTCCTAACAGTCCCCAGGCCTCCTGTCAGCTCCATGCTTATGACCAACCTTGGCCTGACTTGGTTTTTATTGTTTGTTTGCTTTTGTTTTTGAACCCAGAGCCTTTGCACTGAGCTATATTCCCTACCCCATTATATTTTGAGACAGGATCTCACTTAGTTGCTAAGTTGCCCAGGCTTTGCACAAACTTGTGATATTCTTGCCTCAGCCTCCGAGCTGACTGGTCTTTTTTTTCTCCAAGGACTCTGGCCAAGTGAGGCCAAGCTCTTCCTGACCCAGGTGACTCCTCTTCATGGTACCTTTGGCAGGGGCACTGGCTGGCATAGCCCAAGCCCCTACCTCCATGTCACAGATGAGTATTTTTGGCAACTCTGCCCAAAATAAAATCTCCCACCTGTCTGACTATAGATGAAGTATTCTCTTCGGGGCGGGGGTGGCCTTACCCTCTCCACGTGGGTAGAACTTGCTGTCCCTCTTTTGGTTGCCCAGGCTCAGCCTCCAAGCACCTGTGCGCAAACCACCCAGGCCAAGTGTCAGAACTCAGAATAAACCTTCCTCCTCCACCATGTTTCCCATGTCAAACATGTGCCCTGAGCTGTCCCAGCTGTGGTGGGTAGTACAGGCCTCCCAGGAGGCGACATCTCTAGGTATTGTGCATGAGTTATCAGGGGCCCTGGCTTTATTCCCTCCGCCACCACAGCCAAGGAAGGTGTGGCTCCGGCTCTGGTGAGAAGTGGGGTTCCTGGAGGCAGCCCAGTGACAACACGCTGTCATCCCAGGCTCTCCTTTGTCTTCAGGGTTGGGCACCACTCTCCCTCTCAGACTCCTGTCTGCCCCAACTCAGTTCCTTCAAAGCCATCTTCTGGACCCATTTCAGAGATTTATAAACCTGAGAATTCAGTGCTTGAGTTGGTTCCTGCAGCCCAGGAAGTGAGGAATGGTCCAATATATAGCCTATCTGCATTCTGTCAGGTCTCCTGGGTACTTGGAGATGAGGACTTCAGCCAGGCAAGATCTCAGAATACAGTCCTGTCCCTGGGCAGGGGGTGGGCCTGCAGACCTTGGGGGCTGATGGGAGAGCCGCACCAACCCAAGGCACCTGGGCAGCTGCCTCAGGCGCATGAATGACCCCACTGCAACAGAGGAAGGTATGTCAACAATGGAACCCCATTTTGGAAAGTCCTTGGCCCATGGGGCTGGGGATTTAGTTCAGTGGTGCTGCCACCTGTCTTGTAAGCTCAAGGCCCCGAGTTCAATCCCTGGTACCAAAAAATAGAAAGTCCTTGGCCCAGCTTTCTGATTGAAAGGAGACTACAACACGGGGCCTGGGCTGTAGCTTCATGGCCAAGCTAGACAGAGGGCAGAGGGAACAACCTCTTCCTGGCTTGCCTAGGAGGAAGAGGTTATTGGAACCAGAGGTCTGAGCTTTAAGACTGATATGAACTGGTCTTGTACAGTGAGTCTCTTAGGGCTGCACAAATTGGAGAACGGGGAAGGAGATGCCTTCCGAAGAGCAGCAGGTCTAGCCTGGAGTTGTGGCTGAATTGGAGCAGGTACTGCATGGTGACCACCCTGCACTGGCCAAGCCCAGCCTTGACATTGCAAGTAAAAGGTCACCGACCATGTTCTCCCTTTCAAAGACCACAGACTCATTAACCTAAGTATAAATTCCTGACAACAGCAAGAGTGGTGGTCAGCACTGGGAAAATGAAGGCCAGTGCCTGAAGGCAAATGGCTGGGATGGTGGAAATGCAGCCCATAGAAGGAAGAGCCTTCTGAGTGGAGACTCCCAAGGACAGTGGACTCACCACACAGTGGATCCTGTCATAACTCTTAACTTCCTGTGGATTTGGAGGCTGTAGGGAGAGTCTACAAGCACACACCACCAGAGAAGGGTTTGTCTTTTCTTACTCCTTCTGCTTGCTCATCAGGGAAGTGGGCTTCATCAGGAAGTGCAGAAAATGCCAGTATTTGTAACTTTGTTGCTCCCCAGGACATGAAAAATTACCCCAGAAAGCACAGCAGGATTTTGCCAAAAGACTCTCAGCACTTTGTAAGGGCTTGGCCATTCCTGCAGTGGTCTCCCCAGTGGGGTGAGGGAGCACTGCGCACTACCTCACCCCAGAAATAGCTATACTAAGGCTCATTCAAAATGTGTAACTTGCCCAAATATAAGCTCTGGCTACAAACCCAGGAACATTTCCATATGCAGGAGTTGGAAACAGTTTTGCATCAAAAGACCCCCATCTTGGCCAACCCAGCTGGCTTCCCCACACAAGGAGGTGGATCTGAGTCAGAGGGCTTATGTGTCCTCTACTGGGCAGGAGCTGCAGTGAAATGGCCCTCAGAGACCTCCAGGGTTGCTGCCAGCCTCAGGGACAGCCTAGTTCTCTGGGCTGGCCACAGTGCATTCTCAGAGAACCTTGGTGGGTCCACTGGACAAATCCTGGCAATACTCAGTAGCCCTGGGTGTGGCCCCACATCCAACACCTTCAGGAGAACAAGCCTTTCTCTCTTTAGGGCTGTCTGAAGGAGTAGCCCTGCCTGCCACAGAAAGCAGTTTAGCATCATATTCTCTGCCCCTCCACCCCACTGAGCAGGGCATTTACTTCTGTAGCTGCTTGTAGTGAAAAGCAAAGTGCTCCCTTCAAAATTCAGCTGATTCCATGGCAACAGTTGGAAATGACCATCTGTGTAGCCAATGGAGTGGAGGGGCCTGGCCTGGCAGGGATGGGAAAGGCTGTGTCCCTAGTATGACAGTCAGCGCCAGCTGGTTGGGGCCTTGAGGGAATTTAGGACATACATTCCAGTTGCCAAGTTAGGTCAGAAAGGGAGCTTTTCACATAAACCTTCTTTTTTGTATGTGTGGGGGGGGATACTGGGGATTGAACTCAGGACCTCACACTTGCCAGGCAGGCGCTCTGCCACTGACCTAAATCCCCAGCCCATAAACCCTCTTGATTTTAAAACATTGGTAAACATACTTAACAAAACGTGTGACCCTGTATAAGCCACCCAGCACATAGCAGGGACTTCATGTTTGCAAGCCCCTCAGAAAAGTGCCCACCCTCACAGCAAACTGGAAGGACACAGCCACTGCTTGTCACTGGGCAAGACCGGGTCTTCATTCACAGATAGGGCCATATTCTCTTTGGGAATCAGAGCTTGAAGCACATTCTTTTTAGCAACCTCGTGGATGCAAATGGTGTTTGTTAGAATGGAATGTTGGAAAGTCATCTGGAGCTCCAATCCAGTGGGCAAGCAAGGCATAATCAGCTCCGAATAGTTAAGACTTCAAAATAACAAGGCTGGTGGTTTCCTTGTGTTGCTCAGGCAGCTCCCAAGAGGGCCTGCAATCAAATACAACTGGAGTGGCCTGTAATTGCAGGTCTGTTTTGCTAGAACTTTGGCCCTTGGCTTTTCACCCAGCTTACTCTTGAACACATGGGTCGTCTTCAGTCCTAAATTTTGTTTGAGCTTCCAAGCTTAGATTACACCATGTAAGTTTCTAGGTTCTCTCACATTTGAGTTTTGGCGTACATGGTATATATATCTTTGTGGCTTTTTTTTTTTTTTTTTGCAGTACTAGGGATTGTATCCAGGGTCTTCACACTGAGCTATTTCCCCAGCCATTTTTAATTTTAATTTTTAGGTGGGGTCTCATTAAGTTGCCCAGGTTGGCCTCATATCTGCCATCTTCCTGTCAGCCATCCAGAACACTGGGATTACAGGCATGTGCCGTCATGCCCAGTTTAGCCCTGGTCTACTCTTAACACCTCTTACTTTCCCAGGAGATTTTCAGGCCAGGGACTGAAGCACATCTGGCAGGGGCTATGCATCTACTGGAACACTGAATTCCCAATTCCAGCTTTGCCTAGGGCTTTTAGATTACTCCCTCCTAGGAAAGGGTTCCAAGAGTCCCCACCTTGCCCGAGTTAAAAATCACAGTCTACAGCTGAGTGTGGTAGCGCACACCTGTAACCCCAGCTATTTAGAAGGCTGAGGAAGAGGGTCTCAAGTTTGAGGCCAGCCTGTGCAACTTAGAGACCCTGTCTCAAAAATTTAAAGGGCCAAGGGTATAGCTCATGGGTAAACAGCTTGCCTTAGCATTCGCAAGGCCCTGGATTCCATTTCCAGCACCATGGGAGAGGGGGTTCAGCCTAGGTCCTAGGACCCTTTTCCAGGGCAGCTGCCTCAGTGGTGAGCCCAGAATTTGGGTGTTTTACAAGCATTCAGGGATACTCAAGGCTCGGGGATGAAGTCTAGTAGCTCCCAGGCACTGCATGCTAAGCAGCTGCTTCAGAATCTCCTAGGAGCTATTTTATTTTTAGTAACAGCTTTAAGGTGTAACTGGCACACCATGAAGCTCACCTTTTTTCAGCATAAAGTGAGTGGTTTTTAGAATAGGCAGATGGTTTGCAGTTAACCACCTGGGGAGTCTCCTCAAATTGATCTAACAGGACCAGGAACCTGGGTATATGAATCCCAAGACTACTGACCTCTCCACTGGGGCAACTGCCCTGTTTCTGATGGTCACAACCAAGGGTGCTACTCGATCTAGTAGGTAGACTGGCTGCTGTGTGCACCCCACCACCCACCGTAGGGACAGTTATTCTGTCCCAGATGTCAACAGTGCTGAGGTTGGAAACGCCACACCCGGATGAACCTTGAAGTCCTTTGTGCCTTAACTGTAAGACCTCCAGGCCAAACTCACAGTGGCCCCCAGGACTTGGTAGGGCAACCTCAGTACCATCTCCTGGGTGATGATGCTGGTCTGGGTCACTTTAGTTCTGGTAGCAAGTATAGTGTACCCAGATGCTGCTGGGCACTTAAAATTAGTGCTCATCCTCCAAGTATGCAGAATATAGACTGTGCACCACGTTGACAGCTAATGCTTATGGCCCCCTTAGCAGCCTGCCCCATGGTGGGCTTAGGCACTAACCACACATGGCAGGAGCCCTGGAACACTTCCCTCTGCAAAGCTTTTCCCTACCACTTAAGGATGTGTATGGCAATTTTCCAAGAATTTCTCTCCATTACAGAGTAGAAAAGCTGCACAGTGAAGGGTCAGGAGGCTGAAGATCCCTCCCCTACCTTACCGGTAACCTGGGGGGATGCAGGGGGAACAGGCATCCGCTAGGCTGTGTTGCTGGAGGTTGAGCTCAGAGGGGCCAAGGGTGATCCTATGTAGTCTCGGAAGTTGGAGGAAGCTGCCAACTGTGCTTACTCAAAACTGGTTTCAAGATCCATCCACCTGAGCAGTGGGAGGGTTGCAGTCACAGAGTCACAGGCCAGAAAACTAACTCCATGGGAAAAGCTTTGGTGGGCGCATAGCTTCTAGAGCACATTGTGACTGAAAAGACAGGCAGGAACATTGTGGAGCGGAGTGATACTGGGGGTGACCTGAGCTCTGCTCTCCCTCCCCCAACATAGCCAGCTGGTAGCAAAGCCTAGGATGTGAGGCAAGACTACAGAGCCTGGTGATAGTTTGGAATTCTTTCTTCTCTTTTGTTAAAATGGGGAAAGAAAGGTGGAGATCAGGTACCCCTGGGCACTGGGGAAGGCATGCAGGCAGCCCCAGCAGGCAGGCACTGGGGATGAGAAGGAAGAGTCCTGGAGTTTTCCATAAATCTTTTCTTGCGAAGAACAGCAGTGCAGGCTGACAAGGGGGTAGTGGGACGAGGCAGGCCCCTGGGGAGAGGGGTGGCGGGCACACGGCTTGGGGCTCACTCTAACATGCAAAGTCCAGCTGCCCCATGAACTAGGTTGCTTTTTAAAGAGCGACATACATATAAATACAGACACAGCTACACGCACACATGCGGAGAAGGCTCTGCATTCCCGAGTGTGGGGATCTAGGTTTGCCGGCTGTAGGGAGATCCAAGTCAGTAGCCAGCCATGTCTCTGCTGGGTGACTGTCCGCATTGCCCTGAACTAGGGCAGGGCGGGTGAGTCTTCGTGGGAAGGCTGTTTGGTCTCCAAGGTACTGCTCACCAGGCACCCAAGCCACTCTGAGCCAAATCCGTGAGAGCTGGGGGCTGCATGCCTTTGCTCCATGAACTTGCATGCGTGCAGCTGTGCATGTTGGCACAAGATGTATCCCTGCCTGGCTAGAGTCCATCTCTCCCCTCCAGGGCACAAGGGTGCAGACAGAGGGGTGAAGGGGGCCCATGGAGACATCCTCTCCCCCGCCCCACGGGGGTCCTGGGAGGGGGGAGGGGCCTCCCTTATCTCTCTGCCTCCATGGCAGGGTGAGCCCTAGGTTCTGAAGCAGCTTGTTGAGGGGCCAAGGGTGGCCAGTCTGAAGCTGGAGAAGGGGGTGCTGGAGTCCACAGGGATGGCTGCGGCTGGTGGTGCTGTGGGCCCCCAGGGGGTGAGGCTGCAGTTGGCCAGCTGGGTGCCACAAAGCTGCCAGTGGCGGCATGGGGGAAGTGTGGAGGGGGTGATGTAGCTGTTGTGGCCATTGGGCTGCCGCTACTGCCACTGTGGAAGCTCTCTGAGGCCTTGAGACGTGAGAACATGGTGAGAGCATCAGGGAAGTTGGGGGGTGTGGCAGGGGTGTTGGCAGGAGTGCACATCTGTGGGAAAAGAGAGAGGAAGGGGTAAGCACCTTTCTCTGGGAGGGCCCCAAAGTCCCCACTGCCTCTGAAGAAGAGACAGGTACCCCCATACCCCTTCCCCCAGACGCCACCCAAGTTTTGCCCTGGCCCAGTTGGTCCCAGTGCAGGGGCTTGCAGGAAAGGGCACAGAGCTGGGCTGACCCAGCTTCACTGGGGGACCCGGGCTGCAGATCCACACTGCCCAGTGCAGGGCCAGGAGGCTTTCCCAGCCCCCTTACCCAGCACAGCATCCCCAGAGTGCTGCCCCACTGTATAGGCAGAAGCCCAAGCACCAAGGGCCAGGGCTACCTAGGTCCCACCAGTCTCACGCTCCTGCAGGCCTATCTCGAGGAGGTCCAGCTGCATGTGCACTGCTCTCCACTGGAAGCCTCCCAGGGTCGGGGTGGGGGGGTACTTGTACACCCACCTGGCTCCGCCTCCTTCCTCCCTCTCCAGAACAGAGCATGCCTAGCAGGGCCACATGTGGGTCTCCAGGGAAACTTACCATCTGGTGGTGGTGGTGGCTGTAGGGGATGTTGGTCTCCTGGAAAAAGGCGCTGAGGGCCGTCTACAGGAAGAAAGATTGTGCTTACCCTCCATGACCTTCCCTAACCCTATTTCCCAGGCTCCTCTGAGGTTTAGCATGACCACAGGCTGGCCTCTCAGTGGAATAAGGTGACTTGAGGTGGCCAAGAACCAGCGATGTACCTGTCACCTCCCAAGTCTCGCTATCACCCATGGAGACACCATGGGACTGGGGGCAGGGTGGGCGGTAAAGACCCTCACAAGGTTACCTGACAGGTGACTCCTAACTATAGAACCCACCCCTCACACACTTCTGACATTGTCACTGTTGCTCTGGGCGGGCAGGCAGTACCCTTACACCGTCTCATGATGAAAGGCTATGTGGCTCCTCAGTAGGCCAGCTGGTCCTCAGTACTTGATTCAGGAGATCCCAACCCTCCCTGTCCCCACCTAGATGGTAGCATAATCTCTACTCTTCTGCGTGTTATTCCTCTAGACCAGGGAGATCTCAAGTTCAAGCATAGAGGGAAAAGACCTGCTTACTGGCTCTACTTCACCTCTGGCTGAACACATAGTCCTGCTCTGTCTGGACCTCAGTGTCTCCATCTGTATCACAAGGATGAGCAACAGTGACCTCTTCATCACCATGTTCCAGCTGGGAGGGCCTGGGTTTTATACTCACCCACCCAAGCCTTCCCAGGAATGTCAAGTGGTGAACAGGAGGGTAGCCCTAGCATTGAAGCCAGCCAGGGACTAAAAGCTCTTGTGACAACTCCATGTTGGGCACATGACACCCTACCTTCTCCCTCTACATCATTACCCCACCAAACAAGGTGCTGCCTCTTCAAGCAGGGTACCATCAAGCTGGGGGCACTTAAAATCACAGAAGCTGGCCTGGAAACACTTGCTTTTCAGATAGGGAAATTGAGAATGGAATTCCTTGCTAGGGATCATGAGATTAGCAAAAGGCAGAAGTGGGGTTAGGACCCAGGCCTGAGATTCCAAGCATGTCCCTTGGGACTGACCCAGGGTGGTGGCAGGGGGCTGGAACAAGCACTCCCCACATCAGCTCAGACCTCTGGAGGTCCCTGGCAGCTGGGGGAGGGGCTCCAGGGAGTCCTCATGGGAGGCGCTGACATTTATTGTGCCTCCCCTGGGCTCTTGTGGGAAATAAGGGAGCCTACTGCTCTTATGAAAGTGCTAGGGAAGGGAGGGGCCTTGTGTGTGTGTGAAGGGTCCTCCAGGCACTGCCAAGTCCCTGACTGGGACCTGAAGTCTTCCCTGGCAGACCTGCTCCTCAGCTTGTGCTGGCCAAGGGACTTCATAGTCTTCCCTTACCAACACACCCAGAAACCTAGCCTGGCTCCCGGGCTTGCCCTCAGGGTTTCTTCTTCTTCTTCTTTTTTTTTTTACTCGAATTATTTTGGGAATTTCCTGGAGACACCCTATCTGGGTGTCCCAAAACAGGATGGGAGCTCAGGGATGGGGGCTGGGTCTCCAAGCACTTTTCCTGGCAGCAGCAGTTATGCCCCTCAGTCCAGGCTCACTTTGCACCCCAACCCAGCTGCCCAAAGGCCACTTTGTGTGAGTTCTCCACTAAGAACATCTGCACAGCTAGACAGAGGGAGGTCCCCTCCCCCTGCAGCCTCTGCTCCCATTAACACCTGAATCTGAGAATGTGACCCAGAAACACAACCCAGTGTAGGCTAACCGTCAGGTGGAGGCTGGTCAGAAAGGGGATGGGCTAACCATGAACCCCCTCACTCCTAGGCAGAGGCCCACTTGCTCATAACCAATTGGCCCCCATTTTACAGGCAGTGAAACTGATACTCAGGGAGTCAATGGCACAGGTGCTTGTACACCTGGGCTGCCGGTAGCTACTAAAGCCCCCCAGTTTTCAGGGTGGTCCTGACATTCCTGTGGACAGTTTTTCCCCAGATGCTGCAATCTTCAAAGCTACATTTTCTTTTCTTTTTTTTGGACAGGGTCTCACTATGTAGTTGAGACTGACCTGGAACTCACTATGTAGCCCAGGCTGGACTCGAACTCACAGCGATCCTCCTGCCTCAGCCTCGCGAGTACTGGGATTACAGGCGTGCGCCACCAAGCAAAGCTACATTTTCAATTCAGTATGTGCTGAGAGACACAGCCTGGGTGTCTGACTCTGAAGGATGGGTTCAGAGTCCTACAGGCAGGACAAACTTCCCACTGGACACCTACCTGTGCCCAGCCCAGGCAGGGAGAGTCCTGCATGCACAAGTGGGACTCCACAAACTGCCATGAATGCAGTTTTGCAAGTTTTACCACATCCAACCCAAGAGACAAACAGGGTTGATTAGGGCTGCAGGAGAGGTGGGGAGCAGGAAGCTTCCTTAGGGTGGGGCTGCAGTGGGGGAGGGGGCAGAGGGCTGGCCATTCACGCCTTAGAGGCTGACTCACATGGCTCCCTCCAGGTGCAGGTGTGGAAACTGAGGCCTGAGAAAGCAAACTTTCCTCTCCTGGGTAAAAAAACAGAGCAGAACAGTGGACTGAAAATCGAGAGGAAGTGAGCAAGGAGAGGAGGATGGATTTATCTGGATGGAAAGCCTACAGCCTTCCCAGACAATCCCAAACTGGGTGCATTCTTTCCGATCCCCACCTGCCCCGAGGAAACTGAGCCTTAGAATACCCTGCATCCTGGTTCTCCCTGGAGACCCAAACACCTTCCTCGAAATGGCTCCCAAGGAAAATCAGGTTCTGGGCTGGAGCCGGGCTAACCGTGGTAGATACTACCAGACTGGCTGAAATTCTGATCCTACACCTACCTATCAGGGGCACCACTCCCGAGACTCTGATCTTATCCCTAGATACCACACCACGGGGGTGATTTCAGGGTCTTGAGTTGGGAGGTCAGATGGCCTCTAGGGAGCACCAACAGCTTCCGGGAACTACTACCTTATAGGTTAGCCGAGACCTAGTGGGTGGAGTGAGCGCCAGACAGAGGCAGCCCCACCTTCTGCTCAGGTGGCTTGGCTACTGACCCACACCACCCTTAGAGCAGCCGCAAAGGTGCAGGTTCCTCTCCCAGCCCAGAGGGCACTAGACCCGCAGAACCACCCCAAGGCACACCTCTGGAACGAAGTACACACACGCACATCTCCGCGTTGTAGTGTGGAGCTCCGGTACACTACCCACACACTCCACGTTGTGAATATATACACATGCCGCACAGCCCTGAGCACGGCACCCTCTACAAACCGACACGAGAGTACACGCGGGACATACACCAAACATGACAGACGTATTTAGTACCAGATACGCAGCCGGGCAGAATGCGCGTTCGCACACGTACCCACAAGCCCACAACCCTTGATGTGCCCTGCTGACGCCAAGCGCGGTACGTGCGTAAATACAAACGCACATGTACATGTACACACACGCGCGGGCCGCCCACCGGGC